TAATACATAAAGGTCTTTCGTACGTATATATATATATATGTTTATTTATTTGCTTGTTTGTTTGGTTGGTTGTTTCTTTATTTATCTATTCATTTATCTTTTGAATTTACATGTATCTATTTTCTGCATTTATGTATTTACACTTGCACATAAAGGGAACTTAACCGGCGTCAACCATGCTACACCCTGCGAAACCCAAGCATCAGTTCCATTGCACCCCCGCCTTGTAAAGCGGTCCCGGACTTCGGGGAGGGCCTTGTCCTGGCCAGGGCCAATCGGCAAAGATCCCTGATGAACCCTATTTGTCGAACCCCGTCTTTTCAGTCACCCCAACAACCCTGAAGCCTAAATAAACCCTTGTGGAATGCATCTTCTGACACTCAGTCGGGTCGCGTGATTCAGCGCTGCATTGGCTCTAACGTTGGCCAGGGCCGCGCGCCTCGGCTGCCGTTGCCAGGTGTGGCCACCAGGCCATGTTTGTGGATTTTGGGCCTGGGAGTGCTGCCCGGGGGCTGGCAAGATGTCAGACGCTGTACTGCTCGCATCTCCGACTCCGGGAAGATGGATGCCCAGAAGCCCTGTTGTTCCTGCAAGCAGCCGACAACGCTCATCGCAAGGGAGGCAAATTCAGAACTCCCAAACCGGTCAGAATCAAGGAACAAGCGAAGCTGTGTCGATTCTGCCTCATACCCCCGCATATTGCGTGACGCCATCTAAGCTGACAGCTGGCGACTTCGATCATCACGAACCCCTCCAGCCACGCTGCACCTCAAGAATTCCTACCTCGCGCAAGGCTGCCACCACGTCGCCTCAGGACGCAGCATGAGCCAGCTAGGGCATGCTCAGTTCATGGCTTAGCATTCGAAAGATAATGCAAAGCAGATGACCAAGTCCCGTGTCAGCTTAATGGGTTGAGGCATCGTACTGGCTCTCATGAGAATAAGCTGTCAGCCTCTGCCACCGCTTCCGGACTGCAGATCCGCTTAAGCCAAGAAGCTGTCACGCGTATCACTGAAGATCCAGTTCGGCGGAACCACCTCCACAGCAGGCAAAGTTGCTGTGGAAACAACAGCTGCAAGAGTCAGCTAGTATCGCAAGTGTCTCAGGCAGGGGTGTGATCCTGCTTCTGCCTTTCAGTCGCTCTCCCGATCTGGCCATCACCCTAGGCAAAGAACATCCAAGGCCGTCCAGGATGACTTGGGCGTGGCACAAATTATTCGGCTGATGTTGTCCCACCCCATGAGTCTGCAAGGAAACAGCAGACTTGCGAAGTCCGGCCCACTACTCTCCAGAATCGAGAAGCATACAGTCACACAGCACCCGGTGCTGTGATGAATGGGGTGCAAAGGCATACTGTTGGCTGTAATTACAACTGCCGCCCCCATTTTTGGAGCAGGGACTGCAACGCACTAAGCCCTGAATCCCTTCAGCCAAGCTCCAGACTGCCGCCCTTACCACGACAATCTTGTCCAACTACCAGTTCTGCTTCTGGTGTCATCACCACCACTACCGCGACTGCTGCTAATGCCTTCGCTGCTTCTACGACGATTGTTCCGCGATGCCTCCACTAACCGCGATTGTGTTTGCTGCCACTCTACGATGTCAAACTCCGTTTTCGTGATGTGTTGATCATTCCAGTCAACAAACCTGGTGGACAAAGACTGGCAGAACCAAATCCTGAGGGTGGGCGATGACCAGACATGCGGCGAGGTTCTGCCAGTTCCTGCTCGTGTGTGTGAGCTCATGCAGAGCTTCGGCGATCAAAGACAGCAGGATGGCTGCAATAATGACAACTACTACGAAAACTACCAGTGCCGGAAAAACTTGTCATCGTGCAGACCATCAGACCCGGTGATAGGCCTGCCGCTCTTGACGAGCATCTCGGCCTTCGCCGAAGCCGAAGACAAGCCTCATGAAGGGCTGGAGAGAAAACTTAGCGTGCACAGCCGAGTCGAAATTGCGCGATCCTGATCTCCAGCACGTTAGAAAGTGTCCTGCTATTGCCATTGCACAATGCAACCAGGCCGCCTCACCTCGGATGACAGAGTAAACAATTCTCGAGTTGCAGATGGGGGGCGCAAACTACTCGGCGGTAGGCGTCGCGTGCTCACGATCAGGAACATCTCCCGAGGTCTGCATGGGAAATCTCTGCAGGTTCTGAAAACTCGACCCCGAAGAATGCTCGGCTTCGGGCACCGTTGCTGGGCATGACGTTGAGCTCGAGAACCTGGGCCTCCCTCAAGTTCGCCGACTTCTGTCCGTCCTGTGAGGCTTCGGGGGTGGGGGTTGTTGCTTCTTCGATGGCCCTATCCGAGAGCCCAAAGAACTTGCTAAGCGGAAGCTTCCCTCTACTTCCGGTCCTCCGTGTGGTGGTATGCCTGCCGCGAGGTCTCGTCTCAGTTTCACACATACACCTATGCATTCGTATGCCTTTCTGCAACTGGGTCCCCACACACACCCCTCTACCTAAAGATCGGAAAATCTTTGTAGTTTTAGTACCTATGCGATGTCGCTGTCTACGAGGCTTTGCTCAAACTCACTTTGCTCAGACCCATGCATCGCATCCTACATGACAACACTCCTGACTTGACTGGTCCACTTTTCGCCCGGCCTGGACACGGGCACCGACCTGGCAACAGCGTGGCAGCTCATTGCACAGCGGTGACACCCCCAGAACCGGGGGCCTCGATGATGGCAGGAGCTTCCACGCCCCATTGCTTCCGAGCCACCTGGGTCCCAGCAACACCGGAAGATTCAAGACTTCAACCAACTCCTTACGTCTGGACACGGCCTTTCCTGAAGCGAGCCATTTTGCGTGCCATGGGCGGCATTGCGGAAGGCTGATGCGCTTAGAGCTTGGGACCCCAGCTCCTTTAGCCTCCGCCAAGCAGCACGCTGGCGACGCTGTTGGAAAAGCTGCTGCAGGCCACCCATGTGCCCCACGAACCGTTGGAACTCGTCCAGCGTCACTTTGCTGTCGTTGTCCAAATCCTTTGCACGATGTTTTGGGGGGATCGAGAGGCGAACCGAGCATACGAGTCTCCGCCTACACGAAGCAGCACACGCATCGCGAGAAGAAATGACAGCTTAGATGGCAACAACAGATAAGAAAAGTACAAGAAGCTGTCCTATTTTACGCAGATATCTGCAATTGCTGCATCCACAGCTATCTCTTGCCTTGCGTACGTTTGTCTCGTTTGTAGCTGCTGATATAAGTAATTGATGCCCGCGTCCAGCCTCCAACTAACCACGACGTGGCCCATTTGCTTGAATTGATTATCACTCTGGGTACATGTTCTCACGACTTCGCAAGCCAACGCCGAGGATCCATGACACTGGCTTCTTCCTCACCCCATCCGATGTACGCGCACATGAACTTGAACCTGGGGCAAGCTTAGACGTCCTAGGTGAGAAGTAGAACAAATCGGCCAATGGATTCCGGCCAACGACCACGGGCCGCTGACCGTCAAAAGCATCAGCATTATCATCGTCATCGATATCAGCATTGAGGCCATGGCCAACATCCTAGCCGCACACTCATGCATCAACGACATGTCCTGTGTCGCCGTACAACCAACCACCATAATCGGCGTCACCATCGTCATCATCATCATCATCATCATTATCATCATCATAATCATCATCATCGCCATTATCATCGTCATCAGCATCACCATCATCATCATTGCCATTATCATCATCTTCGAATCATCATCATCATCATCATCACCATCACCACAACCATGACCATTATCATTAGCATTATCATCAACACCTCATCACCTGCATCACCGGCAAAAGCAACGACGGCAAAAAAAAAATCAACATCATGACCGGCACCATCGCCACATCATCATTGCCATCACCATCCCGAGCAGCATCCTCGTCCTCAGCATCATCCTCACCCACCCCAGCATGCGCTGGCGAGTGCAACGACTGAGGCTGCAGTTGCCATTCTGCTGAACCCGAACCGCACACAGTTCCCTGCTCTCGCAAGAGCCAGCTGACCAATAAACTCCATTAAATCCGTACAGCCTTGAACCGAAAGAGAATCGAGGCGAAGCTCCAGAAAAAGTCGCCAAGAGGCGAGATCTACCGACAAGGCTATGTGATTGTCGGATCGGGTTTCGGGTTCACCGTTCGCTACCTGCCGTGGAAAGCCCAGGAACTCTTGGGTGTCCAAGTGCCCAGATCCGTCGTGGTCAAAGCGGCGAAATGAATCGCGGATCTGGCGTTGGCGTCAGGCTGCACAAACCGCGTCTTTGTCAACACTCAAGGGATCTCAATACTAGAGGACGTTCAAAGAAGTATTCTTCCAAGGGCTGGATGCAGCTGGAGGGCTGAGCAACAAGAGTTGCTTGGGGTTCATGCTTTGTTTTGCGGATTTTGCTTGAGCCGCTGAGCCTAGGCCTAAAGCAACTCCCTGGATTCGGGGCCTGTGCAAGCTCGTATTCCAAGCTGCTGTTGATCCGGTCCAAGCAACCTTGTGCTTCGTCAGTCTTCTTCGCGAGCCTCAGGATGCAACATCAAATACATCTATACAGATATGAATAGACACTGCACACGATTGCACACGCCAGACAGCCGAGGACAACTTGAGGAGATAATGTGGCCAAGAACAGCGAGGAAACAGCGAGGCGCGCCGACCAACAAGAACGGGCGACACCGCTGGCATCTGGTGGTGTGTCTGAGACACTAAAACTTTTCGAATTCGGCACTCGCACTCGGGCAGGACAGGCTGTTCGAAAGACTGTATGAGATTGTCCTGCAAGTGCTCATAAACCGGGAGGCGCGAACTCCCTGCAACGCCTCACCCAGTAGAGAAGAGGATGAGGAGCAAATTCCTCACAGGCAGCCGGAACCAAACAAGTCGAGTTCAACTTCGGTTCTCATGCTGGAACCATCCAGTGACACGTGACAGCCTTTTAACTGGCAAAGCATACTGCTGGCGGCTGAAAAAACACCGGCCGGGCCAGACGAGTGGCTGCCAACTAGGGCCAACCAGGACTGAAGCAGGCAGCAGCTATCGCGTCACGGCATTGCGTTGCCAAGGAGCCGTTCCTGTCGGCTTTAGGTAAGGGTGCTCCTGCAACAGGTGAGATCATAAACTGCCCCAACTGCCACATCTGTTGCTAAAACGCACCGATGCCCATCCACCGTTGCCACGAGCTCCGGTCCTCTGCCAGCCGCGTAAGGGACGCGACGATGCCTCGTGCTGTCACGGGCTTTGGTGGCAGAGCTGTGTGAAGAATTCCACACTGTGCCATCGGCTCTGCCCTGCCTGCTAAGCTGGCATCCTCAGCAATGCTTCCCATGGCGTTGATGAAGTCCTCATTGCTAAGGCCCACGGACCTGCAACAGGGACCATGTTCCCACAGGATTGAAAAAAGCCGAAGAGCCCATCTTACTAGACTCAGGCAGCGGCTGGCCATGTGGCCCTTCTCCGCAGCAAGTCTGACCCATGGCAGCAGCGCTGTCGAAGCACTGGAAAATACTACTCGTCTGCGCAAAGAACTGCATAATTTCGTGGCCACGACATATTTCTGCGCTACCAGTTAGCACAGGCCATGAAGACTTGGTGTCCACCCGTTGCACAGCTTGGCAGAAAATGGCGAGATGCATGTGCTCTTTCTTAGAAACAGTTTTCTCTTCGAGATGTGTGAGCCGGGAACGTGATCAGCCCCGCCGGCGTACCATGCATGGCCACTCTATGCAACACTTCGTTTACAACTCAAAGCGTCAAGCATCATGGTCAGATGGTGCAGGAACACACCTAGCATTAATCCAGACTGAAGACCCGGACCGGTCGTCGGACCCTACCTAGCACATGTTTCCCTTTCATGCACAGACACCCAGGGAACACTGACAGTGTCAGTCGTAAGGCAGGGAAGGCAGCCAATCTCCGAAAAGCACTACTACTACTACTACTACTACTACTACTACTGGTACTACTGCTGCTACTGCTGCTACTACTGCTACTACTACTTCTACTACGACGAGGACGACGACAACGACTATGAGGACGACGACACCAACAGCAACTGCTACTGCTGCTGCTACTACTACTGCTACTACTACTACTACTTCTTCCCCACGCAGCAAAGACGAGTCTCTGCTAAGCGGACGATTGGCAGGTCGTCGACCCGGCGCCATAGGCACAATCCCTCTCTTGAGGATTCCGAGCGGATCAAGTCCTCCGTCCCGAGGGCCCCATCAGCAAGGACAATGAGCAAAAGGATGCAAAA